TTCTCATCAAATTTGTTATAAGGCCGTAATGCGGTAAAGTATGCGCTGAAGGGTCGTAAAAGGTGCCCTGCGAAACCAAGTAGGGGATGGGGAACCGCGTGGCGCTGGGACCATTAAAGATTGAGATAGAGATAAAAGACGTGCCCGGGGGCTTATCATTGTGACAATCAGTGGAGCGATGTGCATAGGAAGAGGGAGTGGTGACAGGAGGGTTGAAGAGATGCGAAAGAGACGAGCGCCAGGAACCAAAACATTGACTCCTTCTTCACCTTCACACCTTGAACTCACACGATAGAAGTGAGGCGTTTGGAGGGAAGAAATGCAAGTTGATTGATTGAAGAAAGAAAAGGGGATTGGTTTTGGGGGTGGCATCACTTATGACCTGTTTCAGCCCCTGGATCAGACAGAGGCGTCTTCAACACACCGCGTACACAAAATCATGGAAGCACTATGAACTCGAAAACTTTAGCAAGTTGGTAGGACACAAGTTCTAACCGCTTTGAAGTCTCTTAAACAGTTAGACGATGATAAAAGTGCAAAAGTTGTGCCATCATTGAACCCCACCTCCCTTTTCTACCCTAACTTTGCTTGGTTTGATGCCTGATGACATTTAGAGAAGTAGGAACAATTGTAAGTAGAATAGAGACATCCATTTTACTGACCATGGCACCTTCCTTTCAATGGAAACACAACCCAACTCAAATGAGCAGGGTGAATCAGGTTCTCTTTTTTTTTTTACCTTGCAATCGCGAATTGTGTTTGGCAATTGCAGTCGAAGAGCTGATTTTTTGTACAATTGCATTGCTTGTGCGTAGACGGAAGACAGCTCGCTATAAGAGCGTAGCATGCATGTCATGACTTGGAGACCAGTCCACCCGAGGACGGTACAATGGCGATACCTTTTGGTCATCAAACCGTGGTCAGTGATGCAATGGCAACGAACCCCACAAAACGACCATTCGCATCAGTCGTCGCTGTGTAGGCGAGAGGGAGCGCGACCGTAACGTTGTTGACGCCTCTTGACGATCACATTGTTTAAAGATTGCAGTCAGTGAAGAGAGAGAATGTGCTTGTCCTGACACTTCCAAATCGCCAGCCGTAAAAACGGAGTGGGATTAAAAAGGATAGCGTTTTGCTTCAACCCCTTCTC